TGCTTGTAAATTTTACAGTATTACTAGCAATTTTTACAGCATTACTGGCAAAAATGTACAAGCACACTGTAAATTAACAATTGCAACTGTGCTGTAAAAGTACAGCACAATTGTAACTGTTAATTTACAGAGCACTTGTACATTTTGATAATAATACTGTAAAATTTACTAGCAATACTGTAAAACTTACAGCAATTTTTACAGTGTTGTTATTGTCTTTTTGTTATGTATTTGTCATAAAAATGTTCATAGTTTCTAATGCGTCTCATCAAAAGCTTTATTTTGAATTGATTTTTGACTGCGGGAAATCCTTCATTCAATCCTTCGGCTTAGTCTCTTATAGCTCGTTTCCACTGAGCGGTACGGTGCGGTACGGTTTGGTTTGGCCTTTATGACCGTTTCCATTGTCAAAAGGTGTACCAAACCGAACCGTACAACTTTTCCGTAACCCTTTCAAAAAGTTACCAAACAAAAGAAAGGGTACCAAAAGGTCACACGCGCAGGGTTGAAGTTGAAAGGGCAGTCGCGGTGTAAAACATATGCTGGATAAGCTGGCAGTTCATTCCACTGTGGCAACCCCTGACAAATAAAGGGACTAAGCAGAAAGAAAATTAATAAATGAAGTTGAATTAATTGTAAACTTCATCATGATCCTTTTTTAAGTGTAACAATGACCCCAAAAACAAAACGTACAGTTTTATAAGAAACATGAACCATTACACCCTTACAAACTTAATGCCCATTTTTTACTATGCAGTCAGCTTCTGAAACCTAAATTAAGTCCTGTCTTAAATTTTACCTCAATTTCCTCCAAAAAAAAAAAAAAAAAAAAACATTATTTATTGAAATCAAAAGGGATGCGAACAGTGTTTCATGTTCACCATAACAATGTCCTGAGGTTGATGTAAAAGAGCGTATGAGGTGTTTCCTTCTTTGAATCGGAGCATTTACTTCAGTTTCATCCATATTTAATTACGCTGTAAAAACACAGCTACTTTTTTCCCCTACAGCCACAACAGTTCACACATTGAGCAGTCATTATCCTTCTCACAGTCTGTACCTGAACCGCAGACAAACACAACGGACTGGATGAGTATTAGAGATGGGGAGAGGCTGAGGTGACAACGCAGGGATGGAGACAGAGGCGAAAAAACATGGAAAAAGCTGAGCCAGAAAGATATTTATAGTACGATAAGAGAGCAGGATACTGGCTATGCAGACAGAATAGCTAAAACTTTTGATTACCTACATAGTGCTTCTCCACAAGCAACTGATGTTCTGTGTGTGCGCGCATATTTGTGTCCTGACATGAACAAAAAGTGCTATTCACTGTTTTCTGATAGCCCTGACCCAAATACAGTGGCTATTCATCACTTCGCCCATCCATTAATGTGTACAATACAGCTCTTCCATTCAAATGAGCACATGCACTTACAGAGAAGAACCAGGGTAGTCTGGACACAGCCGTCTCAGTAGGGCACATTTGTGGGCTCATTAATGTATTTGGAACAAGGTCAGAACTCTTAATATTGTGGATCGTGAGGACAAAACTGTGTCAAAGCTGGGTCATGACAATATTTTTTATTATGTAGAAATAGTCATTTGATTATTAGCAAATGTTTTGATGAAAGAGATGCATATATTTCTGTTTGCTCTGTTGTTCTCCTGTAACTTGTTTATGCCTTGTTTAAACATATAGTTACAATGTGTTGGTTTTCTTTTGTAAAACATTTGCTTCACCCAAGAATTTTTGGGATTGCTCACAAAATATTTGAATTAGACAATTTTGAGAGAAAAAGCTGTTTATATATTCAAAATGTTTTTAAGTAAACAGTTTTAAGGGTTTCTGTTTTTTTAAGAAATATTCAGTATCTCCAGAATGTGTCTGTAAAGTTTCAGCTCAAAATACCTTTCAGATCATTTATTATATCCTACGAAAAAATACCAATTTTTGGGTTAGAGGTAATTGTTATTGTGTTTGAAGCCTGTGCCTTTAAATGCAAACGATTGCCCACCATTTTGACATTTGTGTCCAGAGATCCAGTTTATGAGTCAAAATACAAAGTAAGGTTATATGATGTATTTGTTGTGAGGCTTATTCAAGCCTTTCTGCAACAATGAGTCACACACAAATGCCATTGCAAAGTTCACAGTACATACACACTTTAAACATGCACTGTTTTTGCATGTCTACTTGCGGTAAATATGACAGGATACACTGTTATATGGATATATTATGCTACTGTACAAATTAAACCTGGTTTAACATCTACAAACTGGGACCCCTGTTGTGTGATTGAAGTATCTTTGTATATAGTTGTACTGACACTATGTGGCTGTGCTGATTCCAGCGGTTATGAATTAAATAGCGATTTTTTCTGTCTTGCCTTTATGACAAACATACACTTTTTTCAAGAGTTCACACTTAGCTGATATTTGATTATTAAGCATGTTTGGTATGCTGTCCCAGGAAAGAGCCCTGAGCTCATAAGATACTAAGGCTATGGAGCTCCCTCAGTTTGCAAGGGAGAGGAGAGTTTGAGGTGGTAGGCCTCGAGAACTCCCCTGCTTATTTATTGCTGATTAAGATCTCATCAATTGTGCCAATTCAGTTTGGTCAATTCATCTATGACACATGTTTTTGGGATGTAGCAGGAAACCAGAGAACCAGGGGGAAACCCACGCAATCACGGGAAGAACATGTAAAGTCTGCACAGAAATGTCTACTGGGCAAGTAAAGACTTGAACCAGTGACATTCGTGCTGTGAGGCTTCTTACGACTGCCGCGCTGCCCTATCAAGGAAAAGGCAAGAGGGAGGAGGGGGGATTCTTCAAGATGAAGATAACTAAGGTTAGAAACTCTCGCTAATTATAGTTAGGCTAATTATAGAGTTAGGAATCATCTGATTGGTAAATCATGCATTGCTAATTTGGGACCAGCCATGGTCAATTCTAAGAAGGTGATCCTCTTGAAATTAGTTTAAGAATAAACTTCACTGAAAAAATGTTGTAAAATTGTAAAACTCTTTCTTGATGTGCAGCTGATCACAGACAGTTGGAACAGATCTTTTAATCCCAGTTTCTTTGCAAATCCTGTCTTGTGGATATGTTTATATGCATTACTATAGAGACATGTTAATATGTCCCCTTCAATCAATTCAGTGGATGAGGAAAACTGCACTTATACACTGTAAACAATGCTGGGTTGCACACAATCAATGTATATTGGGAAAACATGAAGGAATTAATTTAATTTACAAATTTAAGTGGATTACACATAAAGCAATTGAGTTCTCGCAAAAAAAAAAACTAAAGAATTGTTGTTTTAGTTCAATTTGTGAAGTTTATTTATAAACAAATTTTGAGAGTATCACTTGCTTATGATTGTTCTCAGCTGTTCCAGCATCAGCTAATGATAGATTATTCAATCAGATGATCCCTAACTCACTATAAATAACCAGTTTATTATGTCAATATCTTCATCTTGAAGAACCCACTCCTACTTTCCCTCCTTTTTAGAAGGGCGACACAGTGGCCCAGTGATTAGCACTGTTGTCTCACAGCAGGAATGCCTCTGTTTTAAGTCCCTACTAAACCAGGCGACATTTATGTGTGGAGTTTAGCTTGTTCTCCCGTGCTTGCGTGGGTTTTCCTCGGGTTCTCCATTTTCCTCCCACAGTCCAAATAACACGGGGGAGGAGGGGGGATTCTTTAAGATGAAGATAACTAAGGTAAGAAACTCTGGCTTAGTATAATGAGTTAGGAATCATTTGATTGGTAAATCAGGCAATGCTTATTCGGGACCAGCCATGGTCAATCCTAAGCATGTGATCCTAAGCATGTGATCCTGGTATTCTCCCATGCTCGTGTGAGTTTTCTTTAGGTTCTCCGGTGTCCTCCCACAGTCCAAATAATACGCACCCTAAGTAAATTGAACACACAAAATTGATATCATAGCCAAGCTCTTGGCGAGTACTCCTCTCCTCAGTCATCCATCATTTAGCAAGAAATAAGCCGGGGGAGTTCATCAAGATATACCTGAGCTCAAACTTCCCTCTCGCCCTGCAAACTGGAGGGAGCCCAGGGCTTGATGACCTTATAAGCTCAGTGCTTTCTCCTGGGACAACATGCTAAACAAGCTTTTATTATGAATCATCAGCTAAATGTGAACTCTTGAAATATAAGTAGTTTGAATAAAGAGCAAGCGGTGGGCCTCAAAATCACTTTTATTTGGATCCTATTTCAACATCATGAATTTTTATATATATATATGTTCGGTCACCATAAACTTTGTTTACGTCATGTACTCCACAGCACAAGTTTACCGTGCTCACCAACAAGAACTTTCCCCCGCATCACTCCTAGTGTGGTACATTCCACGCCACTTCCGGTGTGTGGTACATTCCCTTTCCGTAAGGAATCTGTAATTGTAAATTTGTTTCGGGATTTGTAAAAGTGTTTTGCGTCTTGTTTATTTTTTTCTAAAATGTAAATTTGTTTCGTCCTTGGTAAAATTGTTTTTCCTATGTAATTGTGTCTGATGATAGGTAAAAATGTTTTTCAAAATGTAAATTTGTCTCGAGTTTTTTATAAGTGTTTCATACTTTGCAATGTTGTTTTGCACTTCCCGGCCACCGTAGTTTTTGCATCAGAACTCTTCATATCTTATTCAGCATGCAAATGACTCACCCAATTTCCAGTAAAACATCATCAGACAATTTGGGTTCCACAATTCCAAAACAAAGCCTGCTGTTATAAATGAAATATATATTTTTGTCAAAACAGATACACTGCAAAAAATGCTTTTCTTACTTAGATTTTTTGTCTTGTTTCTATATTATTTCTTAAAACAAGACAATATGTTTTGCTTGTCTAGAAAATGCTTCTTGATTTGAGACATGTTAGATATTTGGACTAGAAACAAGACAAAATCTAAGTAAGAAAAGCAATTTTTGCAGTGTACATGCAAGACATTGTTCAAAACATACATTTTTAAATAACCTACTTAAAAATCTCTGCCTTTGTAAATGGATATTTTTTTCTCTGTATTAAAAGAGAAGCTAATGTAGGTGCATGATGCATCTTTGCATTGTTAATGCTGTCAGAAAAAGATGCATGAAATGACCAGGTGGGAACAGCCCCATAGGAAGGAACTCTTCCAAATGGAACACGTTGCGAGTTTCCACTTGGGTACTTGTAATAGGATACACTCTGCCTGCGTTTACACAACTTACCAATAATATATTGCAGAAGTATGCAAATTTTTTTTTTTAGTTATCGTGCCTAAGGCTGTCACAGAAGCAATTTCTCATTTTTCTAAGCACACCCATTCAAATGATATCTGTCAGGTAGAAGGACAATGTTATGCATGTATTCCTGAAATGCTTACAGCAGCTTTTGACTATGTGCTGTCCTACATTTATACTTCAGAACAACCACATTTATGAGCATGCAAATCAACAAGGTTTTTGCATGTGCGTGTTCATGTGTAACACATTAACGTTGCAGGTGGTGATGAATGGCTGTGAAAATATGTTTCTCCGGAGAGCTCTTCGCTTTCTCGTCAGGCGGGAGAGGAGCCGGAGAAGATCAATGGCCTTCAGCAGCTGAAGTGATTCTCCCGTGGCTCGGCGGCTGCTTAAACCCGCGTGTTTCCTCAGAGCTGTCAGATGGAGAGCAAGGTCTCATTGTTCAGCGATGACACCAACTGAATCCATCGATGGACGACCTGATCCAATCTTGTAAGGGGAGATGAATTGCAGTGAGTTGCATTCATGTACAGTAGTAAATAGAGTCAGGCTTGAGCTTCTATTTTATATTTACATAACCACACACAGAGAAATTTACAGTGCACACTAGACTGTATTTCAGATACGATAATTAGTTAAAAACTTGCAAATTTATTCATTTGTTTCAATAGTTCATGTCTAAAAAAAGACCATATTTCTGAACAAAATTATCTATTCAATTTTTGCATCACCGAAAATTTGGTAACACTTTATAATAACTACACACTATGAATCATTTATTAAGCATTAGCAAATAGTGAATTCATTATCTGTTAAGCATTAACTCTACATTAATAAATGTTAGTAAGCAGTTTATAACTGCAGCTATTAATGCTGTATTCTTGACTTACAACCACATGTATAATGAGCTTAATAATTGTACTTACATACTTTGTTAATGATTTATTTGTCATTACTAAATTAAGTATTGCATTATTTACAAACCAGTTATTTAAGCAAAGTTGGTGGTTTTTTTAAGATCATTCAGAATGATTTAGTAAATGATTAATAAACTGTTGAAATCAACATTTATATATATTATTATTCAGGCATATATTTTTAGTTAACTAATGTGTTAATAAATGCTTTATTAATTCAACTTCATCCAGTTTTGTGACCTAATCTAAAGTGAGGACTATTCTTGCTTTATAAATGACAATTAAAGAGTCATTTAAATTCTAAAAAGGAAAGAAGTACATGAACAACATTATTCATTTCTATTCATTTGAAGATACACAAATCAAACTGTATCAAATGAAAAGTAAATCTTTGCAACCTGATCTAAAAAAAAATGACTGTACAGTTTAAACATTGCATCTTTTTATATTGTTAAATTATTATATTATTGTTGTTTTATACAATTTTATGTCGTATTTTGACACTCCTGTTCTTCAGCAATGTTACATATTTACAATAATTTGATTTTTTAGATAAGATTGCAATGATTATTGTTCATTTAATACCAAACCTTTAATTATCATTTATAAGGGATTTATGAAGCATGAATAGTCCTCACATAAGATCAGGTCACAAAACTGCATGGAGTTGAGTTAATAAAGCATTTGTTAACATACATAGTAACCATTAATAAGACCACCTGAATAATAAGATTTATAAACCTTAATTTCAACAGTTTATTAATCATTTACTAACTCATTCTGAATGATGTTAAAAACCTCCAACTACTCTTAAATACAACTGGTTTGTAAATAATGCAATACTTAATTTAGTAATGAAAAATAAACCATTAACAAAGTATGAAAGTACAATTATTAAGCTCGTTATACATGTGGTTGTAAGTCATGAATAAGGCATTTGTAGCTGCAGTTGTAAACTGCTTACTAACATTTATTAATGTAGAGTTAATGCTTAACAAATAATGAATTCACTAGATGCTAATGCTTAATACATGGTTTATAGTGTGTAGTTATTATAAAGTTTTACCGAAAATTTCTCACTCAGTAAGTAAGGGATATATCCAAGCTGTTAATAGACAGTTTATTGGCTGTTTATTTTGCTGATATATAAATTTGAAACATAAACTTTACACAAAACATTGTTCTCAGTTGTAATACTTTATTAATTTTTAAATATAGTTAAAGCTGACAGACACGAAAACAGCTGAATAGAGCATACACTGACCTACCTATAGAAGGTTCAATTTGGTAATGTCATTGGCCTACAAGCATTTCCTGCTTCTTATCATACCATTTCATAGCTCTAACAAGAGGCAATTCAATAATATCTTCATGTTACAACAGCTATCATAGCATTATTATCAATATGTGGACATTTTTCGATTTTTGGAAGCTATGAAAATTAAAAATGTAAAACAGGAAATACGTTGGGACCATTGTTATAGTTTACATCCTCCAAAATAGTCTATTATTCATTTATAGCAAATACAATAGAATACACAAGACAAGTCCATACCTGCCAACTCTCACTTATCTCTCAGGAGTCTCCCATATTTCAGACCCATCTACTGCCACCCTCCCATTTTGTTCTTTCTTCCAAAAAACTCCAGTAATATTTTCATAAGTAAGTAAATTTATAATTCAATGCTAACTGACATAACATGTTACTGTAGAATATAGTTTTACAATAATATGCTAATGCATAACCCCACTGTGGTTGAACTATTACAGAAACACATGTGACTAGCTATATCATATCTAGATAAATATGTCTATATCTATATCATCTAAAAAGCTAGTACAATTTACGTTTTTCTGACTAATTTACATTTATATGATGGACATTTTATTGATTACAGTTATTTTATTTCACCAAAACTACACACATTTTATACTGTGAAAACAAATATTAAGCTACATCAGTTGTTAGAACTTTTCGGTTTGGGGAAACAGTATTATTATGACCACATCAGCTTCAGTTCCTCAAAATAATAATGAAGGATGACAGTACAGTGGCAAGGACACCATGGCCTCTATTTTGATGATCCATGCGCAAAGTCCATAGCGCAGGGCGCAAACACATTAAGGGTGTGTCAGAATCTACTTTTGCTATTTTAAGGTCTGAAAAATTCCGCCTTGAGCCGTGGCACATTGTCTAACAGGGTTGAGCTTATTCTCTTAATGAGTTTAGGTGTGTTTTGAGAATAAACGAATCAGAGTCTCATCTCTCATTCCCTTAAAGAGTCAGTTGCGTCGTGCCATAGCGCATTTGCTGTTTTCATGACAGACTTTGTAAGTGGAAAAAATTAGCCTTTCACTAGTAAGAAAACAGTTAAACAGAGCATCTACATGTGAGAATGAAAGATGAGCCTTCTTATTCTTTATTTTCATTTTCACTCTCGTGGATAGGGAAACTTCTTGTGCGCACAGACATCCATTAGCCTATAAATAATTAATTTTGCTTGTCAAGCACAAAGATTTGTTTCAAAACTATTTCTAAATTCAGTTCTAATTTCCAGCAAATGAATAAATGAACAATAATAACGAAGTGTGCTCAAAAAACTGAATTGTGTCCAAATATACATGCTATGCCCCATATGATCTAAAACCTGACAGGTGGGCAAATCTAAGCTTGTTTTTAATAAAAACAAATATGAATATGCATAAAATAAATAATACTACAAATAATAAATTTATTAAATATTAAAACAAAAAAATTTATTTAATAATAAATTATTATAAATAATAATACAAATAAAGATATTTGCGTATCGCTGTAAATCTTGTGTGTATTAAGCAGTTTGTAATCGAGGGCCACAACTAATGCGCTCTGCGTTGGGCTATACACCGTCTTGATCTGGTCTATTGCACAGTCCATTATACTGTAGTCTCTCAAAATAGCAACGCGCCAGCAACGCACCTCAACACGCCTATGGGCGCACATATGAGAGCAAATGCATTTGCTATTTAAGCAGCGTGGTGCAAAACTTGCGTCACACCACATTGCGCCGGGTGTATGATAGGGCCCCATGTGACAACAGCCACCATCGTCCACCATTTTCCCTGCTCCTAGATTTTTAGAGACAAATGTTGGCAGGTATGGACGTGTCATTTAGTCAGTTAATGAATTTCTCAAAACAATTAGTACAAACTGCAAAACCTAGCTGATAACCTGCAAAAGTGTCACTTGCTTAAAATGGATAGCTCATTCCTTAAAAGCAAGTATTGATGTCAATAAAAGTGTCAGTGTCATCAAGATGAAAAGTCCTGCCATCATTGTTTATGAACAAGACAGTCAAATGGCTTTGTCATGTTTTCATTGTGACAGTTTACTCTGTAATTGTTTTCCAATGCACAAAAAAGTCAGATTTTGGTGACACTTCCTAAAAATGCTCAAGACAGCCATTTGACAAACTACAGTAAAGTAGTATATTTCACATTTTTACTGCATTTGCTCACTGCAATTCTAATTTATTCACAGCATTGTGCAAAAGAATAAATACACCCTTATTTACAACAAACACAAACTTCATTTGGGAGCTGTGCACAACTGTAAACAATATTGCAGTACATATTGGAACTGAACCTACAACATACACAGGTCTGTAAATCATTCATAAAATCGTCCAATTTAGCTGACATTTTGAGGAAAAAAAAAAGATCTTAAAAAATTATTAAATTAGCTTGACAGATTTTGACAACTAGTTCAACATTTCTGTATGTAATGACTCAAGTAATGAAATGAGGACTATTACATTTAGGACTATATTACATTCTATATGGAATGACTATTCAGCATTCACAAGTTTAGTAAATTTTGACTGACATGACATAAGCAAATGCATTACCTATTGTGCAAATGTAAATAGTGTTGTGAGAAATGCACCAAAGTGTCTGAGAAAAACTGTAACTGAAATATATGTAAATGGCACATATAGGGCCTATGTTTCCTTAATAAATTGAGATTATTGAGAATATGACATATCCTATTTTAAAACATAAAATTATTTACAAAAGCTAACACAAATTCTAATATCTTATATAAATCATATAAATAAATAAATAATAAGGCTATTATTATTAAATGAAATTTTATATTTATCATGCATAAGAAATGAAAAAATCATACTTTAATAATAATTTTAATAATATTACTGATATTTCTTCTTCTTCTTCTTCTTCTTCTTCTTCTTCTTCTTCTTCTTATTATTATTATTATTATTATTATTATTATTATTATTATTATTATTATTAAGTAGGACATTGTTCATTTATTTATTAATTTATATGTTAATGTTAATTTATATATTAGTTTAAAATTTGGTAGAAAAGTCTACTTTTACAATATGACACTTGAAATTCACAGCAGTAAGTTCTAACCAGCAGGCCCATGTCATATACAGTACAGATACTTAATAAATAACCTACTATAAATGAAAAGAATTAACGTATGCTTTTTGTTTTCACAAGCTTTGGAGACGTAACATAAATTCTACTTTTAAATAATAGGTCACCTATAGCATATGAGGCTGTGTT